GTTCTAATTTGTGAACGTATTAACAACTTAACTCGCCTTATAATATGGTGAAATCACAGATGTATTTGAATAGCTTCAGCCACTTGCTTGACTCTAATAAAGTCTTCCATTTTCTTTCAGCCAAGTAAGAAGCTGGCTACATTTTCTAATAAAAAAAAATACACACACTTGCTGGCACTCTCCTGAGGAGCTGCTATTTCAAGTGAAAGCAGACATGCTTAGTTCGTGGGAAACATCTGAGCTATGGTTTTACCCCCTTTGTTCACCCGTGAAAGTGCCACAGGAAATGGTTAAGAGAGCGACAGGGAGTCTACCTACATTTAACATCACGTACAGATACAAGAGTAATAACAGGCTGACATTCTTTGCTGCACTGAAACACACCACAAGACTGAAAACACGGATATAACCATGTTATGACTGGTTTTAAAAAGTCGTCACCAAGGACTCCAAAAATAGGCACTATCTGAAGCTGAGGCCGCCTGACATTTCAGGCTCATTACTGTAGTCTAAGTAGCGGGATTTGATACTATTTGTGATTCTCAAGTAGGCCATTAAGAAAAAGCGGGATGAAAAAGAATGGCTGTGTTAGCAGTCCTTGAGGTGATCCAGGCATCTCCCTACTCATGCTATAGAAGGCGGGATTTATGTTGGGACATTGAAAAAACCATCAGGGAGACAACCCAGGTATTACTATAGATGTGCTTTAACTCTGGGAGGTAGGAATGCAGGGATTGGCCAAAGCTGTAGGTAGGTTTTCACAGCAGAGCCATAGGCATGGGGCTGGTTCACCATGTGGGGGTAAAGAAGAGTTTTGTAATTCTACATCAAAACTAACCAAAATGTCAGAAACAGTAATGAAAGGAAGCATTTTATTTTTTTTAAAAAAATGCATGTTATTTTTGTAGGGTAAAAGGACCAGCCAAAGAAATCTACCCTGACCCTGAAACCAGAGCCAGTGAAAGAAACCCACCCTGAATCTGAAACCCAAACGGTGGGGAAAACACTGTAGTCCTGAACCCAGAACCTAAGAAACACACCCTGACTCTGAAACCAGAGCCAAAGAAACACACTTTGGCCCTGGAACTACAGCCAGTGAAAGAAATATGCTCTAACCCCCAAACTAGAGACAAAAAGATAAAAAAGACCAGTGAATGAATCAGTTTGGCCCTGAAACCAGAGCCAACTCTGCCCCTGACTGACTGAACAAGAACTCAACCAATCCTCAAACAGGAAAACCTATCAATCCCTGAGCCTGGAATCTAGTACTCTGACCCTGAACCCAGAGCCAGTGAAAGAAACACATCCTCCATCTGAAACCTGAACCAGTAAAAGAAACACTTTGGCCTTAAACCCAGAGTCTAAGAAATATACCCTGACTCTGAAACCAGAGCCAAAGAAATACACTTTGACTCTAGAACCAGAGCCAGTGAAAGGAATATGCCTTACTGTGAAAATAGAGACGGAAGGCTAAAATGGACCAGTAAAAGAAACACAGTTTGGCATTGAAATTAGAGCCAAATCTGCCCCTGACCAACTAAACCAACCAATCCCTGATCAGGAAAACTAACCAATCCCTGAGCAGAAAATCTTCTTCCTGGGAAAACTCTGCCTCTAAGAAGTCCTTTGTCTATTCAGTTGCTGGCTGTCCTTTCCCACCCAGGCAGACACAGCCAGTCTCCTAGATTCCTCCTTCCCAATTAAATGTGTTTCTTAAAAGAGTTTTGGGTAGAGATCTTTTGCCAGGGTAGAAGAGAAGAGATTCTGCTGAGAAGTTCCCTTAGGGGGAGGGGGGCTGAGCAGAAAAACCAGAAGAAACAGTTATATTTGCTGGCAAACTCCCTTGGGAGTTGAGCAGAAAAAGTAGCTTTTTGACAAAGCCAGAGGAGATTGCTACGTTTCTACAGGAGCTTCCCTTTGAGGGAAGTAAGATCTTCGGCCGGAGCTGAGCAGAGCACAAGAAGAGACAGCCCTGCTAGGACATTCCCTTAGGGGAACCAAGCAGAGCTCAGCTGCAACAGCTCTCTCTAGGAGAAGAGCAGGCTTGCTACATCCTGCACAGAGACCATTCTCCACTGCATCCCAGCTCCAGGGATAGCCTGACCTCCCAACAAGTCGGGATCCCCTTTCCTTCCAGAGCTGTCCTATTGCAACTCCAGCCTCCAGAGTTGTCTCTTTGCAGCTCCAGGTATAGCCCTGCTCCCCAGTGAGTCAGGATACCCTCCCCTCCCCCCAGAGTTGTAACACTCGAAATTCCAAACACAAGTGTGCAATGACTGCATGATTTCTTCAATTAATAAAGGGTTGGTGATTCAGAAAGAGGAAATGCCGGTCTTCGGAATCAGCCCATGGAGCCTCTATTAAATTGTGTCCAAATATTACTGGTTGGTAAACAAGGACACTATGCAAGGTCTGACCCTGGTAGTAGCTTCCTTTTGCTTCCAATGCAAAGTGACAACATTGCTGTGTGTTTTAGGTTGTTTTCAACTGCTGTGATAAAACACTGTCCCCAAGCATCAAGATAAAAGGGTTTATGCTGCCTTTTAACACCCAGCTCACAATCTGTCACTGAGGCAAATCAGTGCCAGAACTCAAGGCAGGAACAGAGGTAAGAACCACCGAAGAGCTCTACTTACTGGGTTGCTCTCTCATTCATCCTCAGCTTGTTTTCCAGTACAATCTAGGTCTGCCTGCTCAGGGATGACATCACTCACAGTGGGTTAGACCCTGCCTTATCAAACACCAATCAAGAACGCGCCCCACGGACTGTCATAGGCCAATCCGATTGGGGTGATCTGCACTGGCGACTCCCTCAGATAACTTCCAAGATGAAAGCTAACACTAACTAGGAGTATGCCTGGAAAGAACATTTCCCACAGGGAAGGCTATCAGGCAAGCTGTCGTCCTTTCCAAATGTTCAAGAGTTCAAAAAAAGTTTCCTGAGTGTGTATCTGGCCTATTCAGACCAGTCCAATCTTTCACACATATAAAGTATTAATAAGTTTTATATTTCAGACTCCTTCCTGCTGAGAACATGTATCACAGACAGATAAGAAAGGAGCAGTCTTCCTTTCTGCATTCAGCAGGGTAAATTTGGTCAAACAAGAGGACCATAGGGCTGACTTCACTATTTTTACCAGTTTATACCACATTTTTATGGAGCCCTGAAAAGATCTAGGAAGGTTCTAAACAGTAATGTGGCATTGCCCTTGCCTTCAGCAGGGGACATTTGATTCACCTGTGGAGGGTAAAGCCAGGTATATAATACCAATTAGCCATATGCGAATATATTACACTATTGTATCAATTCAGTTGAAACACAGATCAAACTGTCACGTGGACATTAAACAGAATGATGAAAGTCACACACAGTTACCGGCACTGCAAGTTCATATTTGGTCCACTCTTTAATGGGGAATTCATTATATATTTATCCGTGACAATGTAAAAAGCAGCTAATTTATTAGACGTAAAATCCTCACTTAAATAAAAAGCTCTCTGAAGTTAACAAAACCTAAACGATGCCAATAGCAAACCATATCAAATCTGCAAGGTCACTATCACCACTAATAGGTGTGCTGAGGCAAGTGAGGTGACAGAGACCAGAAGTTCATGTTCTGAGCAAGACTTTCAAAGATCTGCGGCAGAGAGAGAAAGATTAAAAGAATACCATGTGCTGATGCATCACATCCATGGCTGGAAAGAGCTATCAAGAGGCAGCAGGCATCTGGGAAAGAACTTTCTTTCTAGTTTAAAGAGCAGAAATACATTGGCATTGCCCTTGGGATGGGACGGCAACCAAATTTTAATTGGTTTTAAAATCTGGATCGAAATATCCCTGCAGTCATCCATGAACCAATCTTATCCTGCAGAAGTTGCGTGAGTCTTGGCCAACCACCTGCCTTGGGAATTGTTTTGCTTGGGTCTTTCATGGAACAGAGTCCTTGTTTTGTGGTCGCCTCACTTCAAGTGATAATCCTTCATATCCTTGTTTGAGCAGAGGATTCAGAATGAAAAAAACATCTGCGGTGTGGTGGGGGGATCAAATGCCCAGTGCCTTGTGTTGTGGGGCTGTAAGCTGCCATTTGCTTTTCTCCACACCTAGCATGATGGTTTCCAGATGAGAAAGGCTGGTGTTAGCAGAGCCTGCAGAGGTGGAAACTCTACTTTTTGAAAGCACTCTATGGCTCCGGCCACTCACAAGGGGAGAAAGATTAAGGGGTGTGATCAAAGGGATTGCTCAGCAATTTCTAACTCCTCACACAAGGGAGCAAACTCTCTTATCAATTAAGTCCCACTTTCTCAGCTTGGAAATATTTGGAGTAAGCCTCATCGAGGAGAACTTCCAGCATTTGGATTGGAGTGGTTGCCTAGCAAGTGAGAAAGGCAAAAGAGCAGGGAAACCAAATTTAGCTGTCTAATAATAGTTTTGATATGTAGAGTTTTTAGTTTTAAGATATGGTTTTAAATATATTACTGAGAGATGCTAGGTCTTAACTCCACAGGGCTCCAGGAGGCATCATTTCAAACTGAATCTCAACAGAATGGAGTCCCTCCTAGAACTCAGAAGCTAGGGCCAATGAAGTCTGCTATTTGAATAGGAATTGTGGGTAAGGGAATCATATTTCAGAGTGTAGAACTCAGGATCACACTTAAAGTTTTCAGAGCATAAGCCACGCTGTGGTCTTCAGATATGCTAGAGTGTATATGCTACTAAAAATAATACACGGATGGATGCATGTTGGTGTGATTTGAACACAACCTTGTAATATATTGTAGAGCTAATTAACACACATGCACATACACACAGAGACAGAGAGAAAGAGAGAGAGAAAGAGAGAGAGAGAGAGAGAGAGAGAGAGAGAGAGAGAGAGAGAGAGAGAGCGCCAGCCCACAGTCAATAATTCCTGGATGTTGCCTTCTAGTATCAACTGAATGTTGTAAAGCTAGAGAGAGAAGAAAACGTTTAGTACCATCAATCCCGAGACTCTGATACTCACCTATTACACAGAAAGGCTTTCGAGCGAACCTTAGTCTTCCTTGCCATCCTCTATAACGACAACAGCAACCTGCAGACCAGATTCGAATGATGAACTCCAAGCCAAAGACAACGATCATCACGAACTCCTATAAGAACAGAACAGATGTCAGAGAGAAGCATTACAGAGTAACCTACTCTAAGAACCTGGGTGAATATCTCTGCACCTTAAGGTACTGGGCTTGGGACATCTGGTTAATGTCTAAAGAACTTTCTTCTCTACAAAAGTAGCCTGATGACTATCGAAGCCTCCTATTTTCTTCTCTCCTATCATGGGATACACGCCTCCTCAGGTCTTTAATACTGTGAAGGTGTCAGTTTTAATAGAAAACACGAAGGTTGAACAGTAATGTTTCCTCACCTGGGTTATATAGAGACTCTTGAAATACAATGGAAGTTTATAGACATTGAGCTTCATTGTGCAGCAAGGAGTGACATAATTCCTAACTTTGCAAGTTCCTCCCAGAGAATACAAAATAAGTTTTAGGAGTATTCACCCTTTGGTTACAGTATTAGAATCTTTTTTTTTTTTTGTGTTAAAAGAGTTTTCAAACACAGGCGGTTTCAGATGGATAACTATCTGTGTGACACGTATATTCGCTGTCAGAAGTGAGACCCAGAATCCTCTAGCTGTGAAGCCTGTTAATTATTGTACTGCCCTTTGGCAATAGCTGCCTGAACAACAACACCTGCACCAGCAAAACGGCTTGGAGATTATTTAGGAAGAGCTGTGAGTTAACCCCGGGGAAAGGCCAAATACAGCTGCTCTTAAACGGCCAGTCCCAGAGGAGGTTTGCCAGAGAAAATAATTCTGGATAAGTCTAGCAAAGTCACTTGGTACTATAGAGGCAGATCCTGAGTTTATTAAAATTGGTTTGTTTTTAAAGATCCCTTTGCTGTTTGACAACAAGGAATGTCATTATTTATAGTACAGATGATACACATTAAGCAAGGTTATGATAATGGATGGATTATAAAACTGATACAAGGTTGATATTAAAGCAGCCTCACATCACAGAAATGTAGATTGTAGAAATATCAAAGTTGCAACTTGTTTTCCATGAAGGTAAATTTGTTATCAAACTCTTGAAAACGACATGTTTGTACATACTTCATGCCAACATGTCTTTGGTTTACGTGATGACACGCTATGCATTTGAAATGTCCCCCAGAGGCACACTGTCCTATCCTCCTGCTATGCCGCATTGAAGCACCCACAAACACTTCTCATGATGAGAGATAAATCCCCTATAGCAGCGCTACTCACGATTACATAAGATCACTTTTTGGATCAATATCTGCAAATAATTTATGCACAGATGACCAAATCTATGGTCAATATAACAATGACAGGAATCCGAGGGTTTTATTTAGTTTTGGATTGTTGTGGTCTTTGAAAGCTTGTGAAATAATAGAGTCTGTTAATTTATTAAGGTGTCAAAATGTTACACCATCTGTTTTTAAGAGCACATTTCTCAACGTCTACCAACCATGCTTAAGTATAAAATGCCCATTGATCTGAGCTTGCGCACAGCCTAAGTTCTTTAGCAGCCTTCCTGTCCCTCCCCCCACTATTCTTTCTCTGGACCTCTACCTCTTTTAGGAAGGTTAGTACTCCAGGTGTGAGAATTCACATGGTGGAGAACCTTCTTCCCACAAATCCTGGTGTGTGGCCTCATTACACAGACATCACCATGAGACGATGCTTCTGTCTCATGTAAGCAGACAACTGAGGGGCTGGTCTCTGTTCAGATGGTGTCATTAAAAGGCAGGGAATGTGCGAAGCGCCAACACCTCCTGCGACTGTTTGGGCAGCCCTGACTTTCTGAAACACTAGGTAAACCCATAATGGAGTCCCAGCTAACTGGAGACCCTCTAATTTGGCACCAAAGCCCAGGGTGTTGCCTGCTTCCTGCCCCTTTGTCTGCAGACATAGTGCCTGGACGTACTGCCCTCCCCTCACACCACCACATAATGCCGGTTGCGTGCCATTTGGATTCATTGCCTAGTAACTCAATATAACCATAGCTGATTAGATAATGTGCATGTACACCAGAGAGCATACACGTTAAACAAGATCTGCACCTAAATGCCGGTCTCTAGAGTCTGCTTTCCGGGAACTCATCATGAGTCACTCCTTGCCCACTTCCTGGAAATTCATCTCTCTCCCTCCTCCCCCACTGAGCCACAGGTGAGAGTGAGACACCCCCACAGATAACACCAGTAAGTACATGAGATTGTTCTTAAGAAGAGGATGCTAAAAACCATTGGTCCACTTCTATGCTGCAGTGAGGCAGGATAAATTATGTCTACAAATTCTTTATTTAATTCCCCTTTATTCAGGAATATGGATTGATGCTTTCTGGTTTTGTTTTGTTTTAAAAAAAAGATTAGGGAAAATGCCAACAATGCTTTCTTTGCAAAACAAAAACTTCTAGAACTGCACAGAAAACAGAGAAAGCCACAGTTATATTTGGGGGCATCACCCTTCCCTTCTCTTAGAAGTCCTAGAACAGAAGTAGTGGAGAGAAAGCCGCCAAGTCTAACTAAAGACTATCCGAATAACAAAGAAACAGGATCTGGATAGAGATTTGCCTCCTCCACAACCACAACAGAATATGCATCTTCATGTTACAAACTTCTTGATTTGATTCTTTTCTTCATTAAAATAATTCAAGAAAGAACACACTCTAGGCTATCAATGAAGTCAAACGCACTGTGCTGTCAACTTATAAGGGAGTTCAAATTATAAATCAATAGTAAAAAGACAAGCATATCTCTAAACATGAGGAAAATTGAAAATTACACTTTTATGCATTTTATTAGTCAAAGAAAATCTCAGGAAAATTATAAAATATAAATAACTGAAAAATAATGAAAATACAACCTACCAAAATGTACAGGTGCAACCACCACAGTGAGGAGGGGCACATTTATATCACAAAATCCTCACATTTAAAATAAAGGTCTCAGACTAATAAACTAGGACCACAGCTGAAAAACGAAGATAGAAGAATAAAGCTGGTCCAAAGAAAGAAGAAAAGTGAAATAGCAAATATAAGAGAAGAAGAGTGTTTCCTTTACCGCACAACCTCTCCAGCAGAAGTTGTCATCAGTGTTTTTGATCTTGGCTATTCTTACAATTTGTGCTGGAGAAGGTGTGGAGTAAAGGGAACACTTCTGCATTGCTGGTGAGAGTGCAAGCTGCTACAGCCCCTTTGGATAGCAGTGTGGCAGTTTCTCAGAAAATTAGGAAACAATCTTCCTCAAGACCCAGCAATACCACTTTTGGGTATATATCCAAAGGATGCTCAATCATACTACAAGGACATGTGCTCAGTTATGTTCATAGCAGCATTGTTAGTCATAGCCAGAACCTGGAAACAATCTAAATGCCTCTCAACTGAAGAACGAATAAGGGAAATGTGATACATTTACACAATGGAATATTTCACAGCAGAAAAAAATAACGACATCTTGAAATTTTCAGGCAAATGGATAGAACTAGAAAACATCATTTTGAGTGAGATAACCCAGACACAGAAAGACAATTATCACATGTACTTACTCATAGTGTACATAAAGCAAAGCAAACCAGCCTACAAATCACAATCCCAGAAAACCTAGACAACAATGAGGACCCTAAGAGAAACATACATGAATCTAATCTACATGGGAAGTAGAAAAAGACAAATCCTGAGTAAATTGTGAGCATGACGACCATGGGAGAGGGTTGAGGGGAAGGGGAGAGAAAGGGAGGGCATCAAGAAAATTGTATAGCTCAATAAAACCAGTTTAATAAAAAGGGGGAAATAAGAGAAGAAGAAGAAAGTAATGCAATAGAAAGGAAACAGAAAATCCATGAAACAAAAAACTGCTTCTATGAAAACAATCAATAAAATTGGCAAATCTTTTGTAAACTGATAGAAATCACCAATCTCAAGAATTGATAGACATGGTGGCTGTGAAAAATCAGTAAGGAGTCTTCATGGGTGTAGCTTCTGTGAGCACCAGAAGACAGAACCTCCCAGCAAACCCCTGCTCCTTTGGGTCTTACAACCTTTCCATGCCTTCTTATGCAGCAATGTTCCCTAGGTCCTAGGTGCAGGAACGTTTTGCAGATGTATCCATTGGGATTGGGCCCCACAGCTCTGCATTTTGATCAGCTATCATGTTCTGTAGTAGGCTCTGCCTGTTCTAAAGGGAAGTTTTCTATGTAAGTTTGGTAAAGTGGTGGTTGTAAGTTCTCTTCCCTGGTTCCCGACTGCACTACCACTGAGTAGTTGGCTAGGTTTCTAGTACCAGGCATGATTTCCTTCTTGTTGAGGGTGTCTTAAATCCAATTAGAGAGCTTTTGGTTCCTGCCAAAGTATGTGTGCCACTACGTCATTCTTAGGGTTCTTGTGCCAAATTAATCACCGTGTGGTTCATAATTCCAGAAAGTCTTACTAATCTGATTGCCTAACCATGAACTGAACAAGGACGGGGAAAAGCCTCAACCCTATGCCAAGAACTAAAGAATGCTAAGTGTGGGAGAAATTGTCTTTCCTAAGGAAGAACATACATAGAGTCAGCCCTGAAAACAGACACAGAGGTAACAAATAGACTGAGCAGGTTATATTTAGGAATAAATATGCACATACATATATGCATGCACAACACAAAAAACAAGCAAAGAGCAAGTAAGGGAAGGTTTGGAGAGTAAAAAGGAGGCCGAAAATGACGAGATTATGTTATAATTTCTTTCTTTTTAATTTTTATTTATTTATTTATTTTGGTTTTCTTGAGACAGGATTTCTCTGTAGCTTTGGAGCCTGTCCTGACACTTGTTTTGTATACCAGGCTAGGCTTGAATCTGTCTCTGCCTTCTGAGTGCTGGGATTAAAGCTGTGCACCACCATTTCCTGGTTATTATTTCAAAAAAGAAAGGAAGCAGTGAAAAACCTGATAAAGAAATGCTAAGAATGATGGTGTACAGATAAATTTCACAATATAGAAAATTGGACAAATGCCATGAAAATAAAACAAAAATTTAAATAGTTTTATAATCTATAAACATTTAAATCCATAATTTAAAAGATTATGTAAA